CAGAGAACTAACCCCCTACCAGCCCCAGCCCTGGGGCTTATATGTGCACAGGGGCCTGTTTCCTTCTGGTCACCTGACCAGGTGCAGGTGCCATCTAATACCCTCATTAGCCTGCTGCCAAGGCAACCTGCAGCTGTGCAACCCTGCCTAACTCTCAGGGCTCCCTAGCTAAGCTGCCTCTGCTCTTGAAGGAGCAGGCACACCTTTGTGCCCCGCAACAGCAAGTAATGTGGGATCAGTTTACTCTAGAGTAAATTATTATAGAGTAAACTGACCCAGGCATACATCTACACGTGCAGAGATTTGGGAGCAGATTTGCTGCTCATGGGGGCCCTGCACCAGTCCCCTGCAGCAGCCAAGGGGAGCTCTAGGCTGCCCCTGGGTGCCAGCCCAGGAGCTGGCAGGAAGCATGGGGCTAGGAGACAGCTGTCTCCTGGTTGGGGCTGGGACATTGCACCCTGCCCCCAGGAGCTGCCTGCTGCCAAGGCGGGCTTCACCACCAGAGGCCAGGCGGAGACAATGTCCCCCTGTCTTGGCATCAGGGAGCTCCAGGCCCCGTGACTGCAGAGCTCAGGATTGGAAATAAGAATCTCCCAGCCCAGGCCTTGTGATCATGGAGCAGGGGCTGGGAGCTCCCTGCTGCCAGGGCAGAGGGACATTGTCCCCACCTGGCAGCAGTGGCAGAACCTGCCCTGGCAGCAGGCAGCTTCTAGGGGTAAGGAGCAATCTCCCACTCCCTGCTGCCCGGTTGACCAGGCGCAAATGTGCTTCCAGTCAGGCGTTTACATGTACACTACTGCACAGTAAGTAACAGAGAGTATATTTGCTATTTGTATTTACAAGTAACAGATTTACTTGCAATGAGAGAAAATTACTGCACAGTAAGTGTGTGCGTGTGTAGATGGTGATGCTTACTGTGCAGTTATTAGCTCTAATCTTGAGTAAAGCATCTTGTGTCAATGCACCTGTGGTGTTTCCTTCTACAAAGTTATAGGTCTCATTTTTTGCACACTTGACCTATTATTTCACTTTATTGCTTGCCAAAAAAAAATGATATTTGAAACTGGGCTGGGTAAAACATATATGAAATGATAAATAGGATGTAAAACTCTGGGTCCTGCCTGTGTTCAAATCTACATTCTCAAATATGGCTGCTATTTTATTTAAAAACATACTTCTAGTTGTCACTTCTGTATGGGAGAGAAGGAAATGAGGAAAGCAAGAGCTTAGAAGGTGGAAATCTGAGTATAAAATAATATGTTTATGGAACATCTGTCTGCCCCTGAGTGTATAGAAATTATATTTTTATTTAGAACTGTTTCTAGTTCTAAGTAAAAGTTTCTAATTCTTAGAATGTTTAGACTGTTTCATAAACTACTTATGGTGTACGGTACGTGACCCAGTTATGGATTGTTGTGTACATACTGTCTCTATCCTGACCTGAAAATAAAATAGATCTATTTTACAGCTACAGGAGATATTCAGAAAGAAAAACGAAAAGAGAGAAAGAAAAGGAGATGAAGAAAAACGTGCAATGCTGGTAAGCATGTGTAGAAGAGTTGCTGTGGTTGCTGGATTTTTTTAAGCATCGGCCCAATATTTAGTTATATTTAATTATAATAATGTTTTCTTTACTGTTACTGATAATTTTTTAGGCTTTTACTTTTGCAGTACCAAATACTATGTTGGATCATGTACCTTGTAACACACTATTTATATAGAAGGAATTTTGGTGTAATTTTGATTCTGGAGTTAAAGGTGTTCCTGAGGTTGTTGTAGGGAAAATATGTGGAATATATGTAACTGTTATTTTAATACATAATTAAGATAGAATTGGATTTTAAAAAAATCGTGTAGTTAACAAAGTGTGAATACACATATCATTGTAATATTGTGAGAGTGACAGCATATGATTTTCCTGCCAATATAAAAGTAAGTTTTGAAAGACCAGCTTCAGTCTAACATTTATATTTTTCAGTCCCTCGTAAGTTTCTTTAAACAGTTTGTATGCATCTCCTCTTTTTCATGCTTAGTCTCAACACCAATGCTTTCAATGCATTCAAAAAACAATTTTTAATTTAAGAAATCAACTAAGAAGTTATAGTCAAAATGAAACCTATATTTCCAAATATGTTATTTTTGTTGTTATGAACAAGGGTTGTTTACAAAAACGGTATGTGGCTCTCCAGAAAGATCTGCTGTTAAGCATGTATATGTAGCTCTGAAAATGTGTAGCCTATTTGAGGTAAAAAGCTACAAAAATTAAGTACTGTGCTTCACCAGTACAAGTTTTTTTCAAGTCCTTAGCACATGTAAATTAGTCTTCTTCAAACATAATATCTTATTGCAGACTACTGTTGACTACAACCCTAAGCCTGGGATTTGTTCTGCGTATGTGGAAGGCCAACAAGAGATGTAAAATTTGTGGTTTGGTTTTATGGAGTATGATTACAGCATCAGGGGTTTTGCATCTCCATATACCTTGGATAAAATTCAAGTGGCAGTCCTCTACCAATCCCAATATGGAAAATGGGTGCAAAACTATCACTTACAAACCCATGGTAAAAATCCCACAATGTTGGGGGCACCTTTTTATGGCTGCTCTTAATCTGACCATTTGGGATTATAGATTCTAGTTTTTAAACCTTTTTTATTTATTTTTAATGTTAAAAGCATGTCTGTCTGTCCATGCTGGGACCTTGCTTCCTGGGATTTGGCCTTAAAACAATGGAAATCTGAAATCTTAGAAACTGTTGCATATTTTTAATGATCTAAACCAGAGGTGCTCAAGCCATGGTGTATTGGCCAAATGTGGCTCCCGGTGCTATGGGATATAGCCAACAGCACTCCCCACAAGTGGGGAAATTTGGTGGCAGGAGAGCAGTGGCACTTAACATTACCACTTCTCCCTGGCTACCAGATTCCTAAACCCCACACACTGAGGTCAATGCTGGACTACCCAACCTTCCCTCTACATGGACAGACCAGATCCAGGCCACACTTCCTTCTCCCTGCACAGGTGGATCACAGCAGGCCATGCCTTCTCCCCCACCCACACAAGGCCGAGCCTTGTCCCCTCTCTGCCCCAAGGGACCAGGTCGCAGCTGAACCAAAACCCCTTCCCTTGTGTGGCTGAATGAGGGCCAGGCTGCCCCCTGTCCTGCTTCACATGGCTGAATCAAGCCCCACCATGTCCACACTGCATGCCGGATCTGGCCCACCAGATGCATCTGGCCCACAAATGTACTGGGCTCTGCCCATCCAGCCTGTAAGGCAACAAGGTTGCACACCATTCATTTCAGCATAAAAAATGCATTCTGCCTTCCTGCCAGATGCCCATCATTTTCAAATTTTCAAATTTAAAAAGTGGTCTGTTAATCTTATTGAAATTAAAACAAATTTGACACAATTTGTTTAAGTCATTTGTGAGAAAAAGAAACTTTATCCCAAAAGAAAAACTTTTGAGAAAGACGCAAATTAGCGAATAGAATGCAGACGACCCTCGCCATTCACATTCTCGTATTCCCGCAAATGGCAAAATCCACAAATAAGGCACTGCGTTCATGAACATGAATGCTGAACCCACAAACAACAAGGGTTTCCTGTAAACTGCTCCTTGTAATTTAAGTTTATTATGCTTGGCTCCATACATTTTCTATTTAGAGAATCGTAAATGTGAATTAAAAGACAACAGTTTCCTCTTCACACTTTAAAATAAAAAGGTGAAAATTTCTCAGCACAGATTAAGATTTACCTGTCTTAACCTATTCTGTTGTCTTTCTTTTTGTCTCTTTCTCTTTTTGGCCTCATTCTGAAATATGATGCCCTTTTTGCTGTATGTCAGCGCCTTCAACTATATGGATATCACACTTCTACTAGCAGTGTATGTACTCTAAATATTTTATATGTATATAGTCTTCATAAGTGAGACAGAATCGTTTTCTGTAACAGTTGTATCTTTAGCAAGTAAATGATGTTTACAGTTGTAGAAACCTACACACTTAGAACAGAAGTGATATTCAAGGCTATAGAAAGTTTCATGGGTTTGGTATAATCATCAAGCAACAGGCTAGCCTGTTCAGAGGTAAGGTGGCTCCCTCTACATAGGTAAGAAAGAAAAGGAACAGTTTTGCATCAGTAAGCTTTGGGTAGGGAGACAAATGCATATAAATTAACTTTCCACATCAGTTCTGAAACTAGGTCCTTTCCTTGCCCTAAAGCATGATAGTCTTTAATAATATCTGTATTACCAGCATTCAGTTAATTTCCCATCTGACAGAGAAGGAAAAAAAACAGTAATTACTTCTTTTTTCTTTGTTTATAAAGTAACAAACAAATAACCCTTACTGTAGGATGAAGACTAGGGCTTTTAGGAGGAAGTCTCTGATCCAGATACAGTTCAAGCTGTTTTATTCTTGATCAGCCTTTGTCATGCAAGAAATATTCAGTTTACTTTGGACATATTTTTCGCTTTGGATGAATGCCTTCCCAGAGCACAAAAGAGTCTGACTTCTTTAAAAGATCTTCCTTCACTGGCTGATATTAAAAAAAGCCAGGGAAGACCCAAATGCTAATTCTTAATGGTAAATATGGGTGTTTTGTTCTTAATGAGCCTGGTGACTATGTTAATGAGACTGGATAAAAGGAAAGGTTGAATTTCTAGACACGAAGCAGAGATTTAAAGCTAGCCACCAATTTAGTGTACCGTTGCTTCTTGTTAGCTGTGCAGTATTAACAAAAATAAAAGTGTCAGAAACTTTTTTCAGGGAACTGAAAACATACTGTATTTACTCAATTCCAAGATGAGGGGGGTTTCCCCCTTTAAATGGGGGTGAAGCACCTTGTCTTGGAATTGAGTATGAGATGGATCAGGGGCAGAGCCACAGCTGCTGCCTACCCCAACTGCTCCCCTGCCTGCCTGCCTTTCCAACTACCTGCCCCACATCCACCCTTTTAGAAAGAGGCAGTTCAGTAGAGATTTTAGAAATATTAAAAAAAAAATTGGGGGGACAAATAATGAAATAAATTTAACTATTGGTGAACATGGACCTGAAATGTAAGCAGTGAGTGATTTTAAATTTCTACCACTGAAACCCAAATTCAAAGATGGTATGAAGCATTTTCACTGTCACTGACATCTGGGAAATTTGATGGTATTCAAGACCCTTAACACAGTTATAGATGAGTTTAAGTAATTTGAATATTTCTTTCCTTTTATTGCATGGTTGTTATTTGGAGCCATGGTCCATACTGTGATGGTATAACAAAACTAATACAGCATGCACTGCATGTCTTTTGACTAGTTGAATGCAAACTTATAATTGGTATGTTTGATGAAAGTAAGATGTCAGAAAATGAAATAGTAGTGTAAGTGTAATGTTGTAGCCATTGTGGTCCCGATTATGCAAGAGGCAAGGATTTCTTAGGGTGATAGCTTTTATTGGACCAACTATGTAGTTGGGATAAAGTTAGACAAGCTTTTGAATGCAAGACAAAGAAGAATGGCTTACTTTCAGAAGCTTGTCTAACTTTATTGCAACTACATAGTTGGTCCAATAAAAGTTATCACCCTAAGAAATTCTTGCCTCGCCAAAAATAAAAAGCACACTTTTAAGGTATACTAACTTTTTCAGTGATTGATCAATATTGTCAGCTAAAATAAATGCATCTCTGATAGGAAGAGAGGTAGTTAGGCATATTAGTAAGGCAGGCGGTAGTAAGGGTGGTGCCTAACTGGTTCAGAGAGGCAGGTACTTTTGTAGATAACATCATTATAACATCTGACAAAGTAGGCTGTTGCCTGAACCAGTTAGTCTCTAAGGGCTCCTATGTGCAGCGATGCTGTACCAACACACTGTAATTACAGTACGTGAGAGCAGGCTCGATTAATCTGCTGGAAAATGGTAATTACTGTGCTCCAGCAGATATCAGCATCACATATGTCAGTATTTCCGTGCTGAAAAATAGTGGGGTGCTTTAAGCTAAAGCTTATTCGATGGGTTTTAGTTCAAAGTGCCCCACTACCATTTTTCAGCACAGGGATTTGATACATGTGATGCTCTAAACACCTGTAATTAGCGCGGCTCTCAGAGATGCACTAATTAAAGTGCCCCCCCCCCCCACCTCCCGGAGCACATCTATAAACACCCTCAGGTGCCATTTCTAGTAAGATTATTTATTATTATTCAACTAATAATTTTGATATACATTAAAATTGTACGTGTGTTTGACTCATATAGTAATAGCAAGAAAATGTACAAACTGTTCATATATACAAGATTGTGGAATATGGTTTTTAAGGATAGATGCACGTAAAAGTTAAACAAAAGGTTTGAATGTGCCAGTGTAATCAGCTTTTACACATGTATAAGAAAGAAGCAAGCACACACCAGAATTCTTCACCAGTTCAACTTGTTTAAATGCAGTGTTGAATCACCTGAGGAAAATTGAGGAGTCAAACAATACCAGGGTAGGTATTATGTATGAAGCAGTTTATACTGGGGTAACTGTTCAAGGCAAAAAGGCAAATGCCTCCTCCCTGTAACCTAATGGTGAGGTGCAAGAATTGGTGCCTACTAGGTAGAGCTACCCTGGAATAATTGCTCATTTGGCTGCACCAGATCTTGAGGTATGTAATCCACATCAGTGTATAAAAAATATATATACATTACACTGGTGTAAATGTATCCTGTGTCCAGGCCCAAAGGCCTTTAATACCTTAACCCAATGAAGTAATCTACCCATCGAACTAATCTGCTGCTTCCTGTTAGTAGTGAGCGAATCTATTATTGATATTTTCTGGATATAATATAACCTCATAAATCTGCAATCCTCAAAAATCCTGCACTTTTTAAAAATACACTAGCTCTAGAAGTAGCTGTGGCCAGTCCCGGAGCAGCAGAGTGGGGAGCTTGCACGCAGCAACTGCTGCCACCATCCACCACCCTGCACTGCCTCTCCGGTTTAAAAAATCCAGAATTTTCACATTTCTGGCAGGTACTCAGTCCCATTGAGTTGAATGGTTGAATGAGAGGCTTTTCTCAGTGTTATGTGCTGGATGACCTGTGTAAAAATGACTTTGCTTATTACAGAGATTGTATGGTGTGTGCATAATAGATTTAGATTTTGATAGCTAGCATAGGTCAGGGTGGCCAACCTGTTGCCCACATGCCACATGGAAGATCAGAGAAGGAATAAGCAGCACAGTGGCAGATAGGGTAGGAAGCAGAAAGCAGAATAGCTGATAGGGCAGGGGAAGGGAATCGGAGTGGCACCTGGGGAGGGTGTGGGGATTATTTGTGGTATGTGTGCCAAAAAGGTTGGCCCCCACTAGCATAGATCAACAAGATGGGTAATGCTGTATATTTGGGGTCTTTTGTTAGCTAAAAATCTTATGCCATGTAGCATGAATTCAGAAATATGTTTTCTTGTATGAAATGTGTGTGGAATATTTTAAAAACTTGCATAAAAATAGGAGGTTAGACATAATTTGCTAAATATATAAGTTTAGACTCACAGTTTTCTTTTTTATAGAAAACAACATGATTTATTCTTGTTCTTTTTGTCATATGTATATTTCTAAAATTGTACTTCTCAGAGATAATACATACTATACAACGTTGGCATCTAAACTAACTTAATAACTGTCCTGCATGTCATTACATGAAAAAATACTATATTTTGAAGCATATAATTGAAGATTATTTTCTTGAGGCAAAAGTTTTGTGAACTATAATGCCCAGAAATGCTTCAACCAAAAGATCTTTCTATATTCTTTTCTGTGTTTTTTCAAGAAACCAACACATTGGGTTGGTATTCAAACATTGTTATTGGTTCTTTATAATTAAGAGAAAACATGTTCTCAGAGACACAATATTTGTAATTTATGGCAATATAAATTCTTTAATGTTTAACAATATATGATGACCAAAAATAACAAAAATAAGGATTTTTCCTATTTGTACTTGGAAAACTGAATTTATTCCCAATCTTTGTCTCTCATATCTATTCTGACAAGACCAGAGAGCCCTGAAATATTAGCAGCAACTATAACCAACTTAGAGCCATTGAGGTTCTTTAAGGTCTTTAAGGTTACGTGTGCTTGGTTAAAAAGGATAAAATGTATTTGTATGGGGCCTTTATAGGTGGTGGCAAAGTGGGGAACAAAATGTTATAGTTTCTCAGGCCTCCAGAAATCATGTTGAGCACTTAAATGACAAAAAGATATGGCTGTATTCTTTGGGTAAAAGTAACAGCTCTGTCTTTCAAGTAGATCACATAATAAATTACATCCCTGGACAGCCCTAATCAAGTGTATAACCTAGAATTAAACATCGGATTTAATGGGCTTGACTGATATTTTTTAATGCCACAAGGTGTGACTGATCTGTTAAGTTGTATGTAACTATTATATCGTGCCTTTGATGTGTATATTTGAAAAATAAGAAAACAAGCCTAATGTCACAAGAAACAGTTTAGGTACTAATACAGTTCCAAAATAGCTTTAAAAATTCTACCTGTATTTTCATCAATATATCTTCACTTTCCTCAGCATTACTCTATCAAAACAATGTCTGGTGATCCTTCTTGCAAAGCCACATTGTGTCATAAGGAAATAGCTATCAGTACCATTACTCATTTGAGATGCCTTTGGTTTATAAGCAACGTGATATAATACTCTTCTTTGTACAGGAAAAAAACACAAGGATAAACTCCTGCTTTTGAAATTTAGTTAGAAAAGATTTTAAAGTGTGTAAGCTGTTGTTTTTTTATGACTGCTTCTTGGTTTTCAAACAGTTGTACTTCTTGAAACTTCTACAGGTACTTAAAACAGAAGGAGAGGAACATGCCCCCAGAAGCTATTGGGATACACTGAGACGTAGCACAAGCCAAGCACTCTTTTCGGACCTTGCAGAGGTATAATAAAGCCTCTATCTGGTCCATGAATAATTGCTATTTTATTTCCCTTTGTTATGTTTCCTCCAGTTTTATGGATCTTATTTCTTTCCTTCTTTTAGTAGTTTTTTTTTAACCAGTGTTTATTAAAAGTTGTCATCTAAATTAGTGTTGCTCCATTCACTGTGCTTGTTCAAAGTTGTCATATTTCTAATTAGGTAGCTTTTCCTTTAGTCAGCATTAGAAGATCAAGTCCTGTATGCTACACCCTTCCTCTAAGATATTTATCCAATTCCAGCCCTTAAACTTGTCTACTTACCATTTTAAAGCAAAACATCTTCTGAGAAGGTAATGTAGGTAGTTCTGTAGACTATGAGAGAAAAAACATAAGACTGGAAGGGACTTATTGAGGCATCAAGTCTATTTCCCTGATATCATATGCAACTGTGTCATAGGATCATAAGAAAGTAGGGCTAGAAGGGACCTCACAAGATCATCTAGTTTAGCCCCTTGCTCAAGGTAGGACTATCCCAAACCAAACCACCCCTTTGTTACAGCTTGAAGCCATTGCTTCTAGTCCTGTCCCCTATGACCACAGAGAAAAACACAATTCCATCCTCTCTACACACTCCAGATCAGGAATTGGGGTGGTAGGGACACTTTAGCAATGCCCACCACCACTGCTCTCCATCTCTCTCATGCTCTCAAAAGTTGGGCAGGTGTGTCTCGAGAGTAGCCTTACAGTCAGACCACCAGATGCACAGTGTCCAGAGTGAGAGCAGGTGTGGGTCTTATTTTCAAGTGCAACCTCAGGAGTGATGCAGAGCCTGTATAGGAATACTCTTAGTTTCCTCTCATCACATTAAGGATGAGAGTACTTAATTCTCTCAAGTCATCCTAGTTGCCTTTCTTAGCATCTGTTTGTTTGAGTTTATATTTCATGAGTACGGGTGACCACAATTTCATACGGTGCTCCAGATGAGCATAATATTTCTCTGTCTCTGTTAAAAAATATAATCCATCTGAAACATCCTAGTCCTAATGAGTAGTTTGTAATGTTTGTGTGTTCAGCTAGTACACCCAGATTCCTCTCTTAGTTATTTCCAATTGACAAATTCCTGGCTAAATTCTTAGTATTAGTCCCTGAATGTAACAGGGCTTGTCTACACGTGCTCCTACAGTGCCATTGTTACTGTGCCATCATTAAATACTTCCTTTTGGAAGTACTAAATGGTGGCACAGGAACCACCTGTACTGCACCATGCCAGTGGCTCATGGTTATTTTTAGCTGGTATGTTGCCATAGCAACACATTATAGAGAGGGAGTGCATTGCTACGGTGATGTAGCTGTGTCATCACAGGTTCTGCCCAGTGATGCTGCGGCAATGTAGCATCTCATGTAGATGTGCCCACAAGGATTTAAGATTAGTATTCTGTAGATGTATTTAATACAGACTCTTCCAAAGAAGCAGCAACTGGATACATTATTAGATGTGCATTGTATGGAGAGAGATATATAATAGCCTGCAGAAATTAGTTTATCAGTAGCAAAGTTCAACGTTCATGGTTTCATAGAAGTTAGGGGCTGGAAGAGACCTTAGATCATCAGGTCCAGCCTTCCTGCTCAAGGCAGGAAAAACTGCTGAGATTATATGACCCCAGCGAGGTGTGTGTCCAGTTGTCTTTTGAAGATCCCCAGGGAAGGTGGCTGTACCACCTCTGGGAGGAGTCTATTCCAGACTCTGGACACATGAACCATAAAGAAGTTTTCCTAATATCTAATCTGGAGCGATCCTTTGTCATTTAATTCTTCTATAAAAATGTGTATAAAATCTCTCTGCTAACATGTAAATCATTTTTTCCACTGGCTTTAGGAGAACAAATCAGATTTCTTTATTGCTCCTCAGTATTTCTCATTTGTGGGTTTAATAACATTTTTCTAATTTTAAGCTTATCCTTATCTCTCTCAGGCACTTGAACATCTGAATAATGCCAAGGGCATTTGGACATAAAGCTAGGTGACATTATAGTTTGTGTAATCTTGCAGCCTTTTCAGAAGGTCTTATTTAGGTTGAAAAGAGGAGTAAATGAGATTCAGCCTTCAGAGACCCCACATAGTAGGTCTTTTCAGGAAGAAAAGAAGTTAGCGTCTTTCACAGAAGAATGAGTAAGCTTTGGAATATTTTGCAGTACTTTGCTTCCATACCCAGTTGGTCACAGCACCCTCTGGTTAGTGGATCTGAATGCTTCTGAGTCTGGGTAGAGGATAAATTCTGAAAATACTGATGGATGTTGGGAGTTACTGAAGTTGCTAAAACACTGGCAAGAACTGTTATCATTCAGAATATAATGTTTTATATTTTATGATAATTGATTAGCCTGATCTAAGCTCTCTGGAATCAATAGAAAGACTCCCATTAACTTCAGTGGCTTTGCATCAAGCCAGTACTGTTTGTGCAAGGACTTGACACCAATTTACAAAGATGAATAGGTATAATTATCCTCCTTTAGGTTGGAGAAACTGAGGCAGAGTGGTGAAAAGACTATCCATGGGCACACAGAGGCAGAGCTGGTATTACAGCTTCTGTTTCCTTTGTAGGACTAGGGCTTCAATTACATGTTGTCTGCTTTTATATTTGTATTTATATAAGAGATCTTAGCGGTAGTATAAAATATCTTTTAATACAGAGATGAATGAGCCAGTCTTTCATTCTTATGAAAAGATTTTTAAATAAATTTGATCGAAATAGTGTTTGATATCCTATTACATGAACATAAATTGTGTTCTTTTGTTGCTTTCTTTTATAAAAAAAAATTTACTTTGAACAATGAACAATAGAATCAAAGGAATAAAGTCTTTATTTTAGTCTCGCCCTTTGTAAGATTTAAGTTATATAATGCTGTTAAGTCATTGGGCACATTGGTATAGTTTTCAGTTGCTCAGAGTTCTGTACAGAAGCAGATTTCAGATTTTTTTTAATGGATAGCCAGGCTGACCAAATGTAAATGATGGGAAAAAATACATCGGTTTTTGTTTTTTTAAACTCATCTTCTGGTTCTCATAGTTCTTTAGATTTATATAAATGCAGCCTAAATCTAACAAGGTTCCAAAATGTTTTTACAGGATGAAAAGTTGTAGCTTAACATCTGATATCTATACAGTGCATTTGAGGAGAAATTACTTGAATATGCTTTATAGATTTCATTGTTTGAAACATACAGAAAATCAAGTTATGTGTATTTCTGTGTATTATGCCCTATTGTGGAGGACAACACAGAATTCAAAGACAGACTGTCAGAGATTATTCTGTCTGAAGTAATTTCAGGTTCATTTCAGGTATAGAGTTATTTTAATTGAAGAAAATAAGCTATCCTTCTATGTATACATCATGTCACCTTTTTTTTTTCCTGGAGAAGAATACAAGAATAAAGAGGAGGACAGAGTACACGAGATGTAATCTTGAAATCCTGGAACAATTTTATTAAACTACAGAAAAGTCTCTCTTCTATTTCATTTGCTCTTAGATAATGACAAGAAAGACTTATGTTGTTGGTTCCTCTACTTTGTTGGTTTATTCTTCATATTTTCTGTTCAGTTGTTGATGTGTAACTTTTGATACATACTGAAAACATTGAGTTTCACAGTCAAACTTGTAAATGGAAAGGCATGGCTGTAGTTTATCAGAAAGATTTTTGGACAGTGTGGACCTTAAATATAAGCCAGATAGATTAAAATAACATACTGCACTGGCTTCAGTAGGATTTGTCTTCAGCAGTACAGTGGTTCATCTGCATAGTTTTCACTGAAGGCTTGAGGCTTAACATTTACAGCTTTTATTTCTTCACTAGAAGTACAGAATGCTAATAGCATAATATATGCTGAAGAAACATTATTTTTCCATTGCACCTTGTTTCTTAATAAGCCAAGATTTAAATACCTTGGTAGCCTCACTGACAGTTTCATAGGTTAAGTCCTCCAAGGCCAGGTCCTCAACTTTTAGTAGAGCTCTATATATTTACATGAGCTGAGGAAGACATCTAAATCCCTGCTGCAGATTATTTTGTAAACCTACTCTTCAATTGCACAACCTTGTCTTCCTTTTTTTTTCCTCTAACAAATCTGATTGACTATGAGTATAGTAGATAGTCAAAAGTATTTGGATTCATAGATCTTTAGTTTGACATTTTCAAGTCACAGTGAATTACTTGTCTAGCATCACCTGAACAAGGGTTTTCCTTTCTTACCTCTGAAAACAACTTATGCTTTTGTTTTTTCATAGCTAGAACTGTAGCTGTATCAATGATCAGTGTAGCCAATTCTTATCTCAATCCCTGAGATAGAACAGGGAATAGCCATTATGGGCACATCCAGACGAGTGCAGTATGTGGCGCTGCAAACTGCACAGTCCAATTTTCTCTGCGCTGCAAGGGCATGCTGCCCGAGCATGCACTGCTCCCTCCATTTTTGGGGGGGTTTTTTGCATATCCAGGGGTAAAACAAAAAACACAGGAAAAAAGAGCAAAGCAGCACACACTCAGGCAGCACATGCTGCTCAAAAGTGGAGCCAGGGCGCTTGGAGCCGTGCTGCGGCTGATGGCCAGGCTCTACCCAGCAGGATTGCCATGGCTGCAGCCCCGGGAGGCCCCCAGAACCCAAGGTAAGGCTGCTGGGGCCTTCCTTACTGCCCCCAGGGCAGCTTGCTGCATGGCAAAGCATGCGTGGTATGGGAGTTCCCCAGGTACAAGTAGGTGTAGCACAAGGTGCACCGCTGCTACCTGTCCCCAGGAAACCAAATGTCCACGTATGTCTGGACACCCCCTATGTTTACATTTAATATTTATTGCAGATGTCTTTTAAAAAATAAGCCTACAGCAAAAATAGACTTGGAAGGTACTTCTGAAGGTCACCTAATCCAACCCCACACTGCTCAAAGCAAAACCATTCCTGTCTAAACCATCTAAGAAAGATGTTTATATCACTTGTACTTAAAACTTCCAGTGACAAACCTCTCTAGGGCTAGGGACAGACATTATACATAAACTGGTTTAAGTGATCACAAACTTTTCTAAACTTGTAACAGAACAGATGTTCAGTGCACATAAAATCAGTTTGAAAATGGCTGAAACCGGTTTGAGATAAACCTGGTTGAATGTGGTATCAGACTTAACTGATTTGTCTCAAACCAGTTTATGCAATGTCTGCCTGTGACAGGGCGGGAGCCTAGGGGTGGCCGTGAATGCCCCTAACACCACCTACCGTGCCACGTTGGTGTCAATGCACCCTCACCATCTCGCCCACCACGTCTTTGATGTTAATAATTTTTTTAAGGGAGGCTGCCTTTTTTTTGTCCTCGTCAACACGGTGCCCTGATGTAGCCCAGTCTGTGTCCTGTCTTGGGTGACCCGGTGCTCTCCAGCCTTAGGGGCTACGCGTGGCTCCAACCATCCCTGTACCATGCCCCAAGCCTCACAAATGTACCGGACGTTGTCTGGTCAGTTCCCCTCTCGGCGCCCTCACTGGCACCCTCTGGCTCGTCTCGCAGCCCGCACCCTCACTGGCACCCTCTGGCTTGTCTCAGAATTGCCCACTCCCTCACTGGTGCTCCCTGGGGCTTCTCTCACAATGCTGCCTTGAAATGACGTGCCCTCTCTGGCACTGGGGTCCCCACGCTACTGTGGAGCCCCTATGAGGCCTCCTCCAACCCCTAATAGCCTCACCTGGTCCTCCAGTGTAACAACAAACAACCAAAGCAATAACGCAAGCCAATCGGCTGTAACTCAAATCTAAGCCTCCTGGCTAAAGCATTCTCTAAACCAAGTGTTCTCTAAACCACGCAACATCTCGCACCCAAAACTAGTGATTTGTACCTCCAGGCCTTTCCTTTTTCCCCTTTCAGGACCAAGCTCTTTTCCTTGGTTTAACAGTACTTCTTTGGGCCGGCTGCCAGTTGGGAGAGGGAGGGAGAGAGAGCACTCACAGCCTCACTCTGGGTCTTATAGTGGTCAGCCCGGCCCCTTCCGGTCAGCTGACTCACCAGGTGTCGGCCCTTAGCTCCTCCTGGTTGCCCCTAGCAGCCATACCTGAGCCCATACTGCTGCTTTTCAGTAGCAGGCACCTTAGTGCCCTGCTACACTGTCCCAGACCCGTTGCTGGTTTAAACTAAACCAGACACCTGCAGCATCCCACCATGCTCTTTGAGCTGGGCGGGGCTCTCCTCTCTGCTCCCTGGCTGGAGCTCGGCACAGACTTGCAGGCACAGAGCATCTGTCCGGCTTCTCCATGCTAAGCAAGGATTATTCCCCCCTCCCCACTGCCTTATGCAGACACCTCCACATTAACTAGCAGACCACATGCTGGCTACAGTCCGTGCTGTGGGAGAGGACAGAGGCAAACAGGCCTTTTGGAGCTAATCAACAGGTTGCTTAATGTCCTTCCTTGGAAGAGCTGTTTAAGAAGAGGTCCATTAATTGATGGAGAGAGGCTTTGGTTTCTTAATGGGTTGATAAACACTGAGTTAGGAGTGATAAACATTCCCTGCTGGGCTGCTTAGAAGGCGGGGGGGAATAATCAGAGTGTCCTGCCAGGGTCTGGCCATGCCCTGCTCAGCTCTTCCCTGTGGAAGCAGAGAGGGCTGTTCTAGCGCCCCCAGCTTCTAGCCTGAGCCGCTGCAGGCATGTGCCTGCATTTCTGGGATGTCTGTCTGGGTTACAAACTGATTTAGCCTAACCAGGTTAGACTAACCTACAAAGATTTAATCAATTCAGGCTCAGGCTTTTTGGGTGTCTGTCCCTAGCCTATGTAAACTGTTTCAATACTTAACTACTCTCATAGATAGAATATTCTTCTTAGTAGCTAACCTAAATCTTCTTTGTAGCCATTTAAGGCAATTACTTCTCTTGTCCTGTCCCCTGTGGAAGCAGAGAGCAATTATTTTGATTATCATCCTTTTCAATAACAGCCTTATAGAATTAGAAGACCGTTGTTGAATTATCACTCAGTCTTCTCCAGAATAAATAAACTCACTCCTTTAAGCCTATCTTTATATGCCATAGTTTTTCAAGGCCTTTAATCATTTTTGTTGCTCTCCTCCAGATTATTTCCATTTCCCACATCTTTCTTGAAGTAATTTCACCATAATGCAAGGTGAGGGCTGTCAAAGGCTAAAGGGAGTAGAAAAAACACTTGGCATGACTTGCATGCAACCCTTTCTGTTAGTACATCCCAGTATGCTGTTTGGACCTAACCCCAGGTCCTTTGCATAAGGTTATTTTGAACCCTAAACTTGTCATCTAAAATATGTGTTACCCCATCATCTAGAAAGAGGCTAAGATTCAATCCCATAGTCTACATAATTTAATGAAGATTTTAAACAGTACTTGGCCCATGGGAAATCCCACATATTTTTGCTTCTGATATTGAGCAACTGGCAATAATTCTTTGGTGCAATTATTCAGCCAGTTATGTACCCACAATAAACTCCTGTGTGAAGTCCCACTAATGTTAAAAGGACTGCAACCATGTGGAACACCGTGAAGTTATGTAGCGTTATTTTATTGACCCATTTGTATAGCTTCTAAAACCCTGTTTGTTAGAACTAAAGTGTCTTCATAAACAAGATAAAATGTGTATACTCATGTTCATAGGTAAACTGCAACAAATACTAATTCAGTAAAAATGTGGAATGATACATAACCCTCCTTAGAATATAGTGATTATCTGTGGTTAATTCGTGTCCTTTCATTTCACGGCTTGAGTTGCCAGAATTAGTTATGTATACTGCTTTCCCGTTCATAGGATTCACAAACAGGTGACACATCTGTTTCATGAGGTACCTTTTACCAAGGTCTCTATCTGCTACTGAGACCACAGACTACAGGACAACTTGTAAGAATGTACTTCATTTATCGTCATTAGGAGCAGAAGTTTGAGACTAAATAACATAATTATATTCAGGAAAATTCTTTATAATCATATGACTTTCTAAATATATTCAGAAAAAGTAAGATAAAATATTCAGTCACCTGTTGCAAAAAATCTATTTTGCTAAAAGCAAAAACAGCAAAATAAAATATATTTGGATGTTCCAAATACTTACAGAAATAAGCCAAGTCTAACATTAGAAATGGTTTGAAAATATGTTTTATTTACATGTAATTCCAAAACTGCATGTAATTCTTGAATGTGCATGCATGTATATGCAGTTTTCTCATGATCCAACCTTAATTTCTAAAATGTTTTTCCTCTCACACTTTCTTTTTTTTTCACACTTTTCCATATTACATTTTCCATTAACATGTCATGGGTTTTTTTGTGGGGGAAGGGTTAAATGTTTTATACTTAATGCAGTTAAGTGAATGTTGTTTTATGGAACATGTATGAAAACTAAAATATACTGTTTCAGTACTAAACTTACCTTTATAACTTGATAAACATTGAATAGATAAATTCATTTCACAGTATCTATTGTGTGATATCTTTCTTTTTTTCTAAATGCTATCTGTAAAATGCTTTCTTGGATTATGTGTTTGTAATTGATACAGGTAGTCTGAATTGATTATTTTTCCTTTTCTAATGTTTAAGCATGCAGATGACATCACAAGTTTACTGTCTGATACTACGTTGCTTGTACACTTTTTTGGCAAGAAAGGAAAGGCTGAACTAAACTTTGAAGATTTTTATAGGTGAGCTTCAATTTTATAATTTCTGTATAAAATGTCCATTACAATTATCTCCTATCATAGAATCATAGAGTTAAAAAGGATCTCAAGGATCATCTTATTCTACCTCCTACATAAATGCAGGAATTCTATTCATAAATCATCCCTGTCCAACCTCTTCTTGAAAGTTTCCATAAAGGAGATTATACAACTTCCCTGGGCAGTTATTTCATCATCTTATTTTTCCAAAAGTAAGAAGTTTTTTTTTCTGATATCCAATCTAAATCTGCTTTGCTACAATTTAAAGCCATTTCTTCAGGTCCTACCAGGGGCAGCTTCAGGGGGCATGCAGTGGCTTGGTCACACCCTCTTTTGGATTGGACCACACCGTGGGAGCCTCCAGGAACTTTTTAAAGTTCCTAAATTGGATGAAAATACTCTTTCCCTTTCCCTTTCCCTTCCTGCTCAAAAAATCCCTACCCCTGCCTCGTGTGCCCACCCCTCCTTCTCCCCCTCCACCACCTGCCTTTCCCTGCTGTCCTGAGGGCAGAGAAGTACCTTTGCTGCCTGTTGCTCAGGGGCTGGACTCAGCTGGGGATGGCGGCAAGGGCAGCAGGGGTAGACGAGAGTACCCCTTCCCTATGCTCTGACTAGGTAGGGTGGGGGGAACTTCCCAGTCATCCTGTTGCCACTGTCCCCTCCTCAGCTGAGCCCAGCCCCAACTCAGCCCTGCTGGCTCTGCAACTTCCCTGCCCCCAGCTCCAGAGAATGAAGGGGGTGGGTGAAGAAGAAAGGAACAGGCTGCCTCTGAGCAGGAAGGGGAAGGAAAGGGGTATTTTCATCTGCTTTAGGACTTTTTAAACTCCCCAGAGGCTCCTACAGCGTGGTTTTCCTGCACAGGTGGGACAGAAGAGGCTGGGAGCAGGGGGTACATCCACCCTTGCAGTACGGGTTGCTGCTCCCACAACCCGCTTTGGGAGATTCTGAACCTGGCCCTGTGTCCTACCCTCTACTGTAAGGAAAAAAGTTGTTCTTTCTTCTTTATGCAGCCTTTCAGATATTTCAAGACTGCTATCATGTCCCTCCCTTAATTGCCTTTTCTGCAAACTAAATGTACCTAGTTTCTCTCAACATTTCTTCCCAACCTCTTTATCTTCCTTGCCAACCTCTTTATCTTGTCCAGTTAGATCCTTTAACTACATATAACATATGCATTTTTTTACTTTCTCTTTAAATGCATCTGCTTTTCAGTTCATCACAGACTCTTTTGTGAAGAAAGGGGCTTTCTCTTTTCTGCTGAAAAACTTGAAAACAAGGTGAAAGAAACTCATTAAAATACACACCATTCAAAATTTGCATTGTGTTTTTGTGTTCTTTGTAACAGAGGCAAACAGGCATTTCACTATAATTTTATCAGATGTGCAAGGTAATTTGGTGCTCATTACAGTAGGATCAGATCATTTGTATTTGGGTGGTTTGCAACCCAGTTAATTTGCTGAATAGGGACAAGCTACTAGGCTGTTTGCTGGGGTTCTTACTTCAAAAGATGCTGCTTGCCCACTAAGTTGGGGTTTGTTAGTGGTGCCAGGCAGCTCATCAGAGAAGCAACACCCTTTGAAATAGAAACCACAGCAAACACCCAAAGCACTACAGCAGACTTATAGGACCGCTTCCTGCTGCTCTGTATGCCCCTGATTAAATATTCACCATGGGGTTAGGAACTGAACCCTGTGAAGAATGTGTAAACACAAACTCGATAGGTAGTATTCTTGCCTTATATTGGAACTAAGCTAATATCCTACCATGAAGTCATGGCATGCTTCTTTTGGTTGTCCTCTTTTCTGGATGTGATGGTACATTCTTGCTACTACCACCTCATTTCTGATTGTGAGCAATTTGGGGAGAGGCAGTGTCTTCATATATGCCTATGTTGCTACGAATTTATAGTTCTTTCTATTTAAAGTAAAACTTCGCCAAAAAATGTTACACACAGTATTGGCTATTATGAATAGAGATAAAAACTCAGTGGCAGCCATTAGCAAATGCTAACTTTATAACTATGGCAGTTGAAAGAATATAGTTGTGACATTAGAAAGTGAACCATTCATAAAACCAAAAACAGTCATGTTTCTTCTTGAATAAAAGAATAAAAATTTGTCTTCTGTTTCTTTACTTGTACCACCAGTATTTACTTTTTCTCTAGTTATCCCTTACCTACTTATGAATTTTGATGCAACCAAAAGTACGCAGTCTCCTCTGCATCTCTCTTCTTGAAGCTGAGCCACTGCAACGTGCAGTTAGTACTCATTGGATGAAATAGATAATGAGGAAGTTTCTGTTCCTTTGGGAGCAAGAGTCTAGGCTAGACCCAGAACCCACTTTCTATCAGATAGCAGCCACCTTACTGAATCACATAACCTTTAGCTAGTTCTCTTGTGGTTGCACGTATCTCCCTTTCTTGGCTGTCCTGGAGCCCAGCCTAACCTGTGCTGGGATGAAGCAGATGATAAATTCAAACCTCTTCTGGTGAGAGAGGCCTAGAACCTGGGCCTTCCTGTATGAGTGTCCTATCACTAGCTAGCTGGCTAAAAGATAGGAGGGTTGTGCTCCTCTGGCATTTATTGCAGGTTTTTGCCTTGCTACAACTTATGCTTGCCCAAATACATGCATACCTGCCTGGTCTGAATGCAGCTCACTGAGAATGCTCAGTAGTTATGTGGATACTTGTACATTTGCACTGTACATGGAATAAGACTGCAAAATATACATCAATTTTAAAAACGGTAGTTATGCACCTGGTTGAGTGCCGTGTGTACATAACTAGGATTCTGCCTTAAGAGTGTAGGTCATACTCCCAGTATGTAGACTATATCATGGGAAGCAGTAACTCTGAAAAGGACTTTTGGATCATGGGGAAATCAACTCCAAGCGTAACACTCTAGTGGTTCAAGTTAGGTTGGTGTCCACTGGCATCCCAGGCTCCTTTGCAGTCTCCCACTAGTCCCCCCTTGCAGGGAGGCATGCTAGCACTCACCGCACACTCAGCTGCTCCAGTCGAGCACCCAAAGACCTGACACAGAGCCCAGGAGACCCCCTGTGCTCAGGTGCAGCCCCATGGAATCCAACCAGGCTGCCAGGTGTGGATGAGTATGCCTCCTCCCACACAGGATGAAGGCACAGCCCAGGGACGTAGGTGCCCAAGTGCCAGGGCTCATGCATGGGAAAACAGATGCCTCCCTTCCCCACTCCCACTGGTTGCCTGTGGCTGACAGATGAGGTGACACAGCAGGGGATTGGGGACATGATCACCCATGCTCAGCAGCAAGTCAAGGGTGGCCTGGGTGCTTGGCTGCTTTCAACAGTCTCCAGCAGCCGGGGGAGCCCATGGGGCATGCTGGGAGGTATGTAGGAGGGCCCCCAACCTGCTGGCCTCAGCCAAAGCAGGCAGCCTGTGTGCCGTTCTATCTCCCTCCCTCTCCTCCCCTCCCCCCCCACCAAAAGGCAAACGTGTTCTGTTCACCACCAGTCTAACTTATGACACTTACAGAAAACTGTCACTTGGACTGATTCTACCTCAGGCTCTTTTACTGTCTGTACCTAACCACTGGTCACAGGCTATTGCAATTTTTGGATACATGATCAGGGACCCATCAAATAGGACTAGAGAGGTTCTGTTACTTCTGTATTTGGCTTTGATGCAATTGCTTCTAGCCCCAGTCTGTCCAGTGTATCCACTTCTGTTGTCCGCAATTCATGAAGAATGTTGACAATTTGATGAGAGTTAGAGAAGAGCCATAAGAATGACTGAAGGATTGGGAAGCATGCCTTGTAGAGACTACAGTTCAACCTGTTTAGATTATCAAAGAGTTGATCTGATCACAGTTTGTAAGTACTTACATTAGGAATAAAACTGTTACAATCTGCTCTTTGGACTAGCAGATACATATAAAACAGTATCCGGCTGGATAAGTTCTAGGCTGGATGTTGAAACTAAACAACATTCAAACTGGACAACATTCAAAATAAAGGACAGTTTTTTGACAGTAAAAGGATTAAACATTGAAATCTCTTGTCAAGAGTTGTGATGTATTTGTCATCACTTTTAATCTTTCAATCAAAACTTGATGCTTTTCTAAAGGATAGGATATAGTTCAGAAGAAGAAAATTCAGGGAACTCAGTTGTCTGTTTTTCTAAAGGAAATTGAACTGTGTAAATCTTTGGGTGAAAGGAATGGTAGAAGTGTGAAGTATTATTTCCTGTTCAATATTTGTTTGTACTTTAGGTTTATGGATAACCTACAAACTGAAGTTCTAGAAATAGAATTCCTTACCTACTCAAATGGGATGAACACTATCAGTGAGGAAGACTTTGCTCGTATTCTTCTGAGATATACAAACGTGGAAAATACATCAAGCTACTTAGAAAATGTGCGCTGCAGGATCCCTGAAGAAAAGGTAGTTACTTGGTCACTACAGCTGCATAAAACCCGGAAGTCCCAAAGGGGAAACACTGGGGCGCATCTAGATGAGCATGGCCATGTGGTATGTGGCACTGCAAACACATCTGCAGCACCACATACCACACAGTCGGGTGTTCTCCATGCTGCAAGTAAACAGTGCCCATGAATGCGCTGCACCGTTTTTTTTTTCCACGGGTCATGCATGGGCAGCATGTGACACTAAAAAGCAGAGCTGGGACATCCAGCGGCCCCCAGGACCCCAGATAAGGCTGCTGGGCCCCAGCCTCTCCTACTGCCCCGGGGTAACTTGCCACGCACCAAAGTGCACGTGGTATGGGCGTTCCCTGGGGACAAGTAGCTGCACTGCAAGGTGCGCCACTCCTCCTTGTCTACAAGGAACTAAACATCCGCGCTCATCTGGACACGGCCCTGGTGTCCTGTAAGTCAATTTCCCATTGATATCAGTGGTATCTGGATTTCAGCCAGTGGTATCTGGATTTCAGCCAAAGTATCTTAGATCATTTACTTTGCATTTTCTGTTTTACAAAATCCATATTGAATGACATGTATATTGGGTTAAATAACAAGGAACAGGTTGAATAATCAAATAATTTTTCAGATTGCAATGGCTATGGCTTTATACTAGGTTAAACTTTTATACTAAACAACAAAAAATGTAAATGATCTAAAGAAATTAAATCATTCTAGGCTTTTCAACTCTAGTGAAGACACCTCCTATCTTTACCTCTTCGCTGCCACCTAAATAGTATCTCTTTAAAAACTAGCTTGACACCTTAACAGTGGATCATTTATAGCTAGTCTTTGATGAGTGAATGGTTCTTATCAATGGTTAAAGAGTTATTTTCAGAATCTGGGTAGTAAAGAATGGCAAAGAACATTAAGTAGCTAATCCTCCATTTGTTTAGCAACAAATGTGTTGTCAGTAGTGTATCTAAGCAACAGAAGACTCTAGTGGTAGCTGAATGCATGGATGCAAATCAATAGAGATGTTGTTACAAGTGGGTCTTCAACCATTGGATGTTTTGGATATATTTCTTCTATTTGTGTTTATAGAAGGATCAGGTTAATCTGCTCTAGAAATACTTGCAAACAGTTTGACCTTGTTTAAAATGGCCATGTATTTTGACGGTGTTGACAGTTTAACTTGTGGAAGTGAAAACAGTTTCACAGATAAGTATACTGCCTAGCAATTACCTTAAAGTGTTAGACTGAAAAATTACACATAAATAAGAACCACTGAAATACTATAAAATAGCAGACTTTGGTTTAAAACAAAATACCTGAATGGAAAGCTGGAGTTACAAAGACAACAAATGACCTAAGAAAGCATTTATTTAAAAAATGACTGTTATTGAATTTAATTTAAAATTGCAATTGGTCTGGAGTTGCAGGGTCACAATTCTTACCCAGCTGCATAGGTAATAAGGTTACTCACCTGATGCTCCTACTTCTTCTCTTTCCCTTAGTCTACATAAGCAGGAGATTCCTGAACTTAATCCATTTACGCACTTGCCGGTCAGAGAAGCTGATGGGTTCCCTGCACAGACTGAAGTAAACCATTCGCTCCTCAGAGCCAGGGAAAACAGAGAAGGAATTGTGACTGGGACAGGTTGTTCTTTGTTCTGTTTCTGGGAGAGTGGTACTACTCGCTAACCCTTTTTCAGGATACGAACTAGCTGTCAGTAGGAAAAGTTTTGAATAGAAACCAAAAAGATTCATATGGGATCTATATTGAATTCCGTAGAAATGGATTTTACTTCAGTATTGTCTAGTTTTCTTACTGTATGGATCCAGATATATTTTGTTGTTTCTGAAATCAAGTCTTATATGCTTGAAAAAGTTTGCTTAGGAAAACAAAAGTTTATTTAATTACTATAATACTATATACATGGCACACAGGTTAAAAAAGGCATATAGTGAGAAGTGTAAAGATGCATGTATTTGACTGGCTAAGGTGAAGTTAGTTTAGTTTAATTCAATATCTTAAATACATGAAGTGCTTCTTCAAGTTCTGTATCTTAATCCTTCAACACTACTGTCATGAGTGGCAAAAATCTTTAACAAGTAAGCTTCACTCCTTTCTTTGCCTGGGTTTTTTATGCTCAGCTGCAGTAAAGTTGACCATCCTTACACCCCTCTGTTTTAGCCACCATGTTCAGTGTAGCATTTACGCAGTTTACACATGATGCTTTGCTCCTAGGGACTTTTATATTTAGTAATTCTAAAAACCCTGCCAAAAGTGTTTGCTTCAAAGTTTGGGGAACTTTTGCTGGTGTAACAAAATCATCAACCAAGGACATTCTCAGACTACATGCGGCCCCTAAACGTTTTCTTTGGTTGGTGACCTCTCATCTAAATAACAACTTGCCCACATATCCCTTGGTATGTGGTCCTTTATTCTAGGCATTAAACTAAATTAAAGCTCTCCATTTCTACAGCCATACACTACTGGTATGGTCAATAAGCACCCTAGAGAAAGTAACTCCTCAGAAACAGAACTCTCAGACCTTCATCAGCTTTTGAAAATGGGACTAATGCTCCTAAAACAGTGGCTTATCCGGTTCATTTAAGCACACTTGATTTGACCCCTTCTGACTAATAATATAATTAGCATGACATTGCATCCTTATTGTTGCAAAACATTTAATTCTTATATTCTCCAATACAAAGACATGACTGATAACTTCCAAAGATGTTGCTCTAGAATGCACAGTAGTAAGCTGCTATTCTCACAGTTGGCACTGTTACTCTTTTTGTGGCTTTCTTTATGCAGAGGCCCATAAAAAATGTGCTGATCATTTGGCTGACTATATTCATGTTGAAGTGTTTAGCTGGCATGCTGCCTGCTTACAAGATGTTCTCCTTTTGCTAGGTGCCAAGTAGTGATTCATTTAGACTGGCAGCTTGAATTACTACAAATATCAGCTCCTACAGTAAGATCATCTTTTTCAACAGCACTGCTGTATTCATATCACAGTTCACTTTGTTTTGCTAAAAATATAATCTGCCCAATGAACTAGAAGTTTTCCTTCACTTTTACCTGGAAAATATATGGTTTTCACTAGGAACCTGGGAAATGCATTTACATTCTTTATCATATCAAAACATATGCAATATAATGTTGAGTATTCTGTTAGAATTGTTTGGTTTTACAAAAGTTATTCTAGAGATGGGAAATTGTCATCCAACTCTGAATGCCCATCTCCTTCTGTTAACAGGCCTGGGCACCACTTGTGGGGAGGGGAGGGGGTTGCAAAAATAGCAGCTGCCACCATCGGCATTGTGGCTGCTGGCACTGCCCTGTGTGGCATGGCTACCGAGGGCTGCAGAGCTGCCCTGCTGTGCCTCTGCCTTTTCGTTTTTTTAATTTTGCATCTCTTCTCTCTCTCTCTCTGTCTAAAGTTACAGGTCTGAACTTGGGAGGTACTAAACATCTAGGAATGCAGTTGATTTCAGTTAGATTTGCCCGGCAAAGGAATCAGGCCATTTATTTGTGTTATTTGTCACTAAGTCAAAGGTTGTAAAGTACATGTAGTTTATACTTGGACTCTACTTACAGTTGCTTTTATCTACTTGACAAAAACACTTTACCTCTAATATCAACTCAAAGAAGCCATCAATTTTCATAACATTTCAGAAAGCTGAAGCTCAAAATATATTATGTACAGGCCACTGTGTCTGAACCTTTGCTATACCTAGCAAGCCCCCACCTAGATGAAACTCCCTCCCATCTAACAATAAATAAAAGGCAAAGTAATTGGGAGACCTTGACATTCATTCACTCTCCACATTGAGACCATTTTAGCCAGGTCATTCAGGCTGTATAACTGTAGCTAGAACTTCATTAGAAACGCTGAGATTTAAAAATCAACAAAACCTTCAGAGTATTTGTTTACTATCTCTATAAGCATTTTTAGTTATAATAATGATGAGGTTAACAATAATGGTACACATTTGTAATGAAATCTTATTACTAGTAATTCAGCTGCATATTGTGTCATAAGATACATTATTTTAATTTGATTTTAAAATGATAGGAAAATGTATTTGTCAAGTAAAAACACAGACTTAAGGAAACCCTAAAAAATCTACCATTGGGGAACATGCCCAATAGCCAGACTAATTTTATTGAGTTTTGCCATTGGTGCTTGATTCATCTGAAGTATCAGTGCCCTTAAAGACTTAGATTATAGCTCTTTAGGAGACTGAATCATTCAGTAGAACATTTTCATAAAGTTTTAGAACAAAGTAAAAAAGCAAAATGCATTTCTCTTGTCACAAAGGCTGAAATGTATAGGGGGCATAATTTTTTGCAGCTTTGAGCAATTCTATGGTTGTTCAAATAACTGAAGTGATAATAATTTAGTTTATATAATGACTGCATGCTGATGTGACTGGAGAAAAGCTTTCAACTTGGCAACTCAGCCTCCATTGTTTTGGGATTTGCTTTTATATTTTGTTAGCTTTGGCTCCTCTTAGTGGAGGAGTAAATTAGGAAGTAAGTAAACACTCTGTTTTAATCTCTGGGTGAACCTTATGCTTTTTATTGTGTTTTTTTTCCTTAGGTGTTTTTTTTGTTCACTAGTTTACTTTTAATGGAAGCCAGGAGAAATGCTTGATATCTATCTTATTATCAACATAGTCTGCTAAGGATCTAAGTGAAAGGAACAATTAAAATATGAAATGCATCACATTTTTAAAGAATTGGGCCAGACCACATCCTTGCTGGAAAGAAATACACTAAGAATTTAAGTGATTTGCCCAAGGTGTACACAGGAAAACTTAGCCAAAATTAGAACTTAGGTTTCTGACTACATGACAAGTTTTACAGAGACTGCCTACATTTGCAAGTCTCTACCATGTGAATGTCCTACCTATATCTAGTGTAATAATTTAGCATCAATTCTCATGGTCAGGCAAAGTCAGAGACTTTATTCTTGGGAAGGGGCATTATGGAATGCAAATGAGATGTGCTTCAATTATAGATGACCTCACTTTCTGTAGAGAAAATAAGAGGAAAACTAGGAAAAAGATGGAAGAATTAATCAAAAGTTTTTCTCTCACATCACTAAATAAGCAAGCATCTTTTGTATTTTATAGATCTGCTGAGGTCTGCAGAATGAACTTCTGCTGTTTCCAAATTTGAGTCCCAACAGATGCTGTAGTAGATAGGTATGTTGACATGAAATAAGTTAAAGCAAAGAAGTTCCCCGGCTTACATAATCTTTTCTAGTCTCACCCACAAGCAAATTAAAATTATTATTATGTCTGTTAACATAATACATAGGATACCTAGTGATGGAGTAGGGCCTCACTGAGTTAAGTGCTGTACAAACACAGAATAAAAAGATAATTCCTTTTCCAAAGCTTACAATCTATAGAAAACAAGTGACAACAAACAACAGATGGATGGGAAGAGATGAGATAATATTGTTACCATATAAATGATCTAAGTGATGTTCACTTGTCATTTCTACTGAGTATTCTAACAGTACTAATTTACATCAGCTTCTTTTATTTAATAGGGTATCACGTTTGATGAGTTCAGATCATTTTTCCAGTTTTTGAACAATCTAGAAGATTTTGCTATTGCAATGCAAATGTATAATTTTGCAAATCGTTCCATAGGACAAGGTGAGTATTTATAATTTCATAGAACTATTTCTTTTTTTAGTTGGAAGCAACTTTGTTTTTTATTTGCAGATCTTCACTTTTCCAGTCAAAATTTCATCATAACTAGCTATTACAGTTATACTACTATTCTAGCATCAATGAGATTTTTTCTTAATACTTGGAAATAAAGATACTTCTGCAGTTTATCAGAAGAATGTTGCCTTTTATACTACTATCTGTTAAGAAATTTTCTTGAAGTGGACATTGTCTCTGAAGTAGATGTAGTCAGTACAAATTCATGTAAATATTCCTGCTCTTTTAAAACTAGAAAAATAGCTATGTATCAGAATTTATTAATTTCATTTTTTTACTGTTAAAATTAATTATATTTACCTATTGCTTTATTCAGAAAAGGTCTCATACACAGCTCCCTCCTCCTGCCAGGAACAGTGTTATCAAATCATCTTCATGATAAACTTGAAGTTTGTTTGTTTGTTTAAATAAAAGGAAAAATAGACATGGATTCATAATTGAACATTATATTTGTAATATTTTAAATTTTCAAGGTGTTGCCATAGATTTTTCAGTTCCTTTGTAAAATCACTATGGAATACAGTTTTCTATTGTGTGTTCCAAAGTGTGGATTATTACATGTAAGACTTTGAGGAGGAGATTCTGCTTCCTAAAATTGAAAAATTGGATAATGACTGAAAAATAGTTTCAGACACCCAGTAGTGTCCCCTTTAGCTCAGACATAGCCAGCCAATACGTAGAAATGGGGCTATTTGGTCCCACTGTGTCTCTTAAGTAATAGATCAAGGAAAGAATTTGGTGGGGGAATGCTGCTTAAGTATAAGGTTTTGTGACAAGATAAGTGTGGAGGACACATTAGAATGTCAGACTTTGATTATGACCCAGCTTTCTAATTCTGTCACTACATACAGTAAAGTTTGTAAATCGTAACCTGTGAACCATTTTTTTCTGATAAGTTCGTTGATTTCAGTGAGGTTGCATCTCTCGCTCCAGCAGAGAATTTGGCCACCTTTTTTCTATACAAACTTTGACTTATATGTGTAACTAAAATAATATGTGATCATATAACTAAAGCCATGTTTACATCTGTGAAATTTAACCCTTTCATGTTTTCTTATTTATTGAATACTAAAATGGGCAAATTTAAGTTAAAATGGTATTATATCCTGCATTTTATTATATGTTCTCCAGTAGAAATGTTTATACTGAAGTGCTGTATATCACAACATGTACATTTTTTATACAGTATACTCAGAAGTTAAAGGACATTGTGATGTCTGTGTTTCACTTTTTATTGCTGTTTTGGTTATGTAGATGAATTCAAGCGTGCTGTGTATGTAGCTACAGGCCTGAAGCTTTCACCACATTTGGTGAACACAGTCTTCAAGATTTTTGATGTGGATAGAGATGACCAGTTGAGTTATAAAGAATTTATTGGTGTCATGAAAGACAGATTGCATCGAGGATCCAGGGTAATAATTTTAATTCTATATTTATTTTAATTAATTGTAGAATCATCAAAGAACTACAGGTAGCCTATCAACAGCTCTTTAATCATGTATGTTTTTAAAGACTTCTGAAGCAGACTGAAACGGTTTTCTTTTCTATACAACTATAAAACTATAATGCTGCAGAGTGTTTCTTTATAATACAGAACTATTTTACAAGTGCAAAGTTCACTGCCATTTCTGCTGGCTGGGCACATCTACATGTGATGCTATGGTGCCATAGCAGCAGCATCTTACTTAATTCAGTAAGTAGGGTGACATAGCAGCTAAAAATAGCCATGTGTGGCAGTAATGGCATCATACGGGCTGTTTCTGCACCACCAAAAGGAAGTATTAAATGATGGCGCAGTAACAAAGGTGCCATAGGGACACATGTAGATGCGCCCACTGGTGTGCAGTCAGTTGGAACTAGGAATTTTAATAAGCATTACAATTATGCTTGGGCCCTTTTCAGGGAGAAAGGGAGGCAAGGTAAAGGAAAAAACCCTATATATATGTATGAAGCCCAAACTCCTATGCTTTTAAAATATTTTAGAAAATTAGTTATTGACAGTAAATGCCAGAAGAGATGTAGCAGAAGAAGGTTTAATTCATCAAATTAGGAATTAGTGAAATGTTGGTCTTTTGCTCTGTTAGCATTTAAGTTGCATTCAGTTGCAATTCAGTCATGCTCATTTGTTCATTTTCAGCAGCAAATTTTTGTTTTGTTTTTCATAGTTTAGACAAGATTATTTTCTGACCAAAGGTGATTCTGATAATTTAGCTGTATATCTAGGACAGTGGTTTTCAACCTTTTTTCATTTGCGGGCCCCTAAAATATTTCGAGTGGAGGTACAGACCCTTTTAAGTTGTAAGTGTGGGTATTCACATACTTTTGATCATAGTCATCTTTTGCAGACCTCTTAGGCATGGTCTTCAGACCCCCAGGGGTCCGCAGACCACAGGTTGAAAACCACTGATCTAGGAGGTTAGTGTCAGTATTATGGATGGCAGGGGGATAGAAAAATCAGTTGCCTAAAGTTTAGGCACCCGAGCCTGCAAATTGGCTTTAGAGCTCTGCCATTTGAGTACATGTGTAAACTTCCCTGTCCTCTGTGGATTTTCTCCAGTTCACTGGGACCAGAACAGAAGCCTTTGTTGTGGTAGAAACTTTAAACAATTTTGAAATAACAGTTGGGGCTGAGAAATAAGCAAGTGTGAACCTTGTTAGATAGTGGTATTATGCAATTCTACAGCTACATTCGTACACCTGTGTGATTTGTTTTCAAGTTTAGAAATAATCTTAGTTTTTAATAAAAGCACTGAGAAAAATTCACATATCTTTTTAGAAAATAATGACAATGTGAAGTTAAACACTTTTTCTATTATTTTTTCTTTACATATGTATACCATTGTCAACATTGTTTGATTTGCAATTGAATTTTAAAGTGTAAGTTTAGATATAAGTTTAAAATGCTTTCACTGTGGAGTTTATAATCATTCAACTGACATTTAATTCTGTTTTATCGTAATATGATTTTACTCCCTGTATTAGTTATTTTAATTAGATTTCTAGATCTGTACTTGATGAATATTAATAATGTTAGGGTTTATATATAAGGTGATGTTGAATCTACTGCATGATTTGGATTTTAATTCAGTGGGAGTTAAAAAAAACAGCTAATGGATATGTGACAAGAACTTATTCCTTGCTGGGGCTCAAACCATAAAAACCATTTATGATATGGTGCTAGTAGTTTCACAACCATTAGAAGATGTTTGACTGTCTGTGCTTACTAATGGCAAATGGGTAGTATGTGGCAAGGTAACTGGAACATGGTCTGCTTAATAAATCATTTTAGCAAATACATAGTATTTTATGTTTGTCTTAAATGTTACAAAAATCAAGACAAAATCAAATATAATCCTTAGGTGTCTTTTTCATCCGGGACTATTTTGCTTTCTGCATGTAGCACACTTCTCTATAGCTCATTTCAAAATCTTTTAATTCAGTAAGTAGGGATCCTAAGCCAGAATGTGATACTTCTACAAGAGATCCCACTAATTTACTGGGTATACTGTAGAAATTAGGTGCAACTCAGTATGTACAAAGAGTTCATAATTCAATCTACTACCAAAGTGACCAAATCACTCATTTTTATTTTCTTCTCACTACCCAACTGTTTTATTGATTAAATATATATATGCCCGTTCCATGGAAAGCAGAACTCAAGGAACTTAGTATTAATTTCCAGCAAGTTTCTTGAATTGATGCAGACGTTATTTGTGCATCTACCATGAACAGTAGTCAAAGCTTTCACAGTTTTTTCCTTTGCATTTTAATAGCACCCAAAAACATTCCCAAGATTTAGAATGAAAAGAGAAAGTCATGTTATGTCTTTCCTGCCTTTTGTTAAGTGCTCAATTTGGCAGCAAATATCACTGATCTTTCAAGATAAAGACAGTTGCAAAAATGGCTTCAGTAGCCAAAATAATTTTCTTTCCATCTAATTTGTCCTTAAAAAATTAGTCAGTATAGCCATAACAAGAACAACCTTACCCTTTAGCCACTGGTATCATCATACTTACAATGTGCTCAAGCAATTATTTCTTACTTAATTGAAACAAATTACTGATAAGGCTCTTTCTTTCTTCATAAATATGTATTGAATGCATGTTCAGGTTCCATCATATAAACAAAAAGAGACTAATTGCTTCTTCTAGTATAATATTTCTAATAATATATAATCGCTTCTTCCAGTATAGTATCTGCATGGACATATTTGCCTGGCCCAACTATAACCAGTTTACAAACTACAGGTGCAAAGTGTTAATATTAAATAGATACACACTCACCTAAATCACATCAGTTGTTGATTAGCTAAAATATTTAGTAAGAAAATAAATAATAGCAGTGGTTTTTTTACTTTTGTAGCTAACATTTCTTTTTCATAAAACATGAACTAAGCAATGACAATAGTGTATTATTAGCTTCTCATTTTAATATAGTTTCTCATTTTGGCTAAGACAGCTTCAGTTTTCTACAGTTGGGATTTACTCTTGAATTTAAATGTTAGGTAGTAGTTGTAACATAGTAATTACAATTAATAAAAATATTCTTAACTTTGAGTGCAGCTTTGAAGGCAAAAATATTAAACTGGCTTTGAATGACTATTAAAACAGTATTTCCTACTAATTGATATTACTAAGTGTGCTTATAAAAAGCTTGCAGTTGTTATACATATAACAATAATAACAGTGTTGTGAAATCCTCTTGAGCCCAAATAAAAAATTTCTCTTAGCCATGGATGTCAAACATATGGCCCACAAGGTGAATCCAGCCCATAGACTTTTGCCAAGATACATTAAGGTACTTTCAGGGCTGGAGCTCTTCTATTTAAAAAAGTCAATAAAAGGATGAAAAAGAAGACTGGACCCTATCCTTCATATGAAGTAATATCATTGTTTTCTTGTCCATTGTCTTAAACTGTCTATTTGTCTATTTCCATAATGTAATATGATAAATTATACTATTATAACCATTAAAACTTTAGGAAACTAAAATTCCAGCTCCTGCTTTTGTAAGTAGAGTATCCAGGAAACTAACATGTAGAGATATATAAAGAATGTAATGTCTAACAATAGATTTTACCACATAAAATTATTCTCTCTTTTCTCTTTCACCAAGATAGTATTTGAAATTAAAGGATAATTGTTAACTTGAAAAATAAGAGAGAGAGAGTTTATTTAGATGAACTGGGGTATTTAGCTGCCACCTAGTGGCCAATTAGAACATTGCAATTTGTTTATTAAAGCATATGCAAATATTCTAACAGAAAATATATTTTCTTAGCTCTTTGTTTGATTTAAGATGGCTGTTCCTTTATTTTATTTTTAAAAAGGTGATGGAAACCCTTTCCCTCTTATGTAAAAATTCTAGTTTCAAATAATAATTTGGAATATAAACACCAAATAATATTTTTTTTTTTTTTTACCTCTGGCTAGCTATACTATAACTTCTATCTATTTTGTCATTTAATCACATTCTTTTGTATTTTCATGAAACTGTTGTCTCACGCTTACCTATGGCTGCCTTCACATGTTGTCTGCATCTGCGCACTTCTCCATCTTCTGCTCCACAGGGCTACAAAACTGTACAGAGGTATACCACTTTCAAATCCTGCGTGAAGAAGGAACTCTATAGCAGATAAGTTACGGTATGTGTTAGCTGCGCAGTCTAAATGTGCTAGCATGCTGATGGGAATGGCTGAATGTTAAAGTGTCAGTGTTTTGTTTTCCATTACAGAATTCTGGGATAGATTATGAGAATGTAACCCTCACAATATCTAACATATCATATTGTATTTTTTACCAAAATGGTCATAAGATTTCCATTTTTAGACTTACAAAAGACTGTCTGAGACTGTCAGTATTTTGTTGGCCTGTTGGCTTATTATGCCACATTCAAGGAAATCTATCTCCCTACTTGACAACATAAATTTGTGAGTTTCTGTTTCTATTTTCTCTATGTCCTGTAAGTATGTATGATATAGTAATGAAGATTTGTGAAGATCGATTTTCCACAAAAAACTGGTTAAGTAATTTAAACCCACTTCAGTTTATAATTGTATGCATTTTTAAAAGCACAGTGTATTTCTAGCCCTACTGCCAAAGCTGTCTTTCTGAGTAATGTAATTGTAGACTTTTTGTAATTGATTTCAGTACTAATGTTTCCTTTTCTGTCCATAATTTTGTATCGTATGGTAGCTACTCATAATATTCTTTAAATCTGAATTAGGTTCCAAATTTTAGTTTCTGAGTTGGAGGGAGGAAGAGATGTGTGATGTTATGGCCCAATCCCATACCTGTGGGAATATCAGTCTGGTGCATGTTGGTTCAAATACTGGGTCCCATGTATTTTTAAGCTAATTGGTCTGACCAGAATCTAGTCACTGTTTCTAGCTCTAATTCTCTAGGACACATTC